ATCAATACCTACCTACTGGGGCCCGCGTAGCGCAAGCGGTAGTGTGCTTGCCTCGCATGCCGGTGGTCGTGAGTTCGAATCCTACCGCCGGCAAGAACAACTAGGCATTTTTAAAAATGTCTATAGGCCCCAGGTCGACTCAGCCTGAATAAAATGAGTACCTTGGGTAAAACCAGGGGTAATAATAGGCGGTTGAAGCGTAGCACTGGCCATGTTACCTTCCTTGTATACCGTAGGCCCTAGATATAGCAGACTACCCTGCTATACTCCCAAAGCCGCGTGCGGTATAAAACGGGAGACTATTATTATTACCTACCTACTGAAATATGGATATCATTTCAGTATGTTTTATTCAATAATTGATGGATTCGACCGTTACTTGATGGAAATTCATTTTATGTAACAATAAAACACTGAAAACTTTGTTTTCAAACTTCCACAAAATTTATCTTAAATCTTATCACTACAGCTGTTTCGGCTGATTCCCTTCTCAAGTGATCTTTTTTTGTCTTGGGTTTACAAATTTATAATCTCTAATGAAATAGGTTGAGGAGGGGAGAACTGTTTGTCTTAAGTTGGTCATTCAGAATTATAGTCATGAAATTAGTATTTCCACCCCCAGAGAAAAAACCCAGTACCTTCTGCTCGATTACATATATGTACAGGCAAAATAACAACAAAAATTGCCAAACACATAAAAAAGAAAGGAATAACACCAGCTTTCCGAACAAATAACAACCTAGGCAAATATATTAAACATAACAAGAGCCAAAATAAATAGTGGTGTGTACAAACTTCAATGTGGCGACTGCCCAAAAACTTACATCGATCAAACTGGTAGAAACTTTGATAAACGAATAGCAGAACATAAAAGGGTTTTCAAGAATAGAAAAACAGATTCGACATACGCACTTCACCTTCTAGATCATAATTATTCTTTTAATGACAAATTTAAAATTCTTCACATTCAAAATAAAGGCCTTAAGCTATCTTTGTTAGAATCTATGGAAATCAACAAATTAAAAAACACAGATATAATTCTGAATGACCGACTTGAGACAAACAGTTCTCCCCTCCTGAACCTATTTCATTAGAGACTATAAATCTGTAAACCCAAGCCAAAAATAGATCACTTGAAAAAGGCAATCAGCCGAAACAGCTGTACTGATAAGATTTAAAATAAATTTTGTGGAAGTTTGAAAACAAAGTTTTCAGTGTTTTATGTTTTATTTCATCAAAGACCTTCTCAAAGTCAGGGTAAAGGGTGACAGTTTAAAGGCGGGTGTCTTAGTATTTATTCACAAAAAAAAAATAGAAAATAAAAAAAATTACTGAGGTTGTATCAATCTTAAAAACCTGATAAACACCGCAAAAGCTTGCAAAAACCCTTAAAAACCCTGAAAAACATGATCTTTTGGGTGTTTAAATCTGTTTCGTTCAATTTTTGAAAATCTTAAAGGACCCAGTTATTTCAACTTAGATGTAACCTATAGAAAAACTCTGATTTGATCTATTTTAAAGTCTATTAAATGAAGAGAATCCCCAAAAACACATAACAAAACAATTTTTTGGGGTTTTGAAGATGGCGCAACCACGGAAAAATCTGGAAAAAGTCGGAAATACAGTTTCTGATTAAATACACAAATTAAAAAAAAATCAGACCTGCCGTCTAAAAAAATGCAAAAAAATATATATAAAAAGAAAAAATACCTCTTTTAGTGGCAGGTCGCGGGGTTAGGGGGTTGGTGGTTTAAAACTGCGTTGTGTCTTATTTTTTTTTAACATAAAACAAAAAAAAATAAAAATTGAATTCTGAGAGTTGGGGTATTTTGTTTATCTTAACCTTTTATTAAAAATATTAAAAAAGAGTACTTTTTGTGTAGATACAAGTATAAAATGTTTTATTAATATTAAGAATATTAATAGTACAGTCACTGAAGGTTTTCACTCCGATTTCGTTGAAACTTCGATTTTCATGAAAATTGGTGAGTAGTTAGAGGATACCTTAAGAAACAAAAGTAACATGGTGTCAACTTGCGCTTTTTACCCTGGGGGTGGATGCCACAATTTCTCGGGGTGGAAATTATTTTATTAAAAATAACCCCAGGAATCGAGAGGGACCAAATCTAAACAAAATTTATTTTATAAAGTTATTAAAATCAATACTTTTTGAGTTATCGAAGATCAAAGATTTTGATTTTTCGTGAAAAAATGCATGTTTTAATTTTAAAGCGGTTTTTCATGAATAGCTCAAAAAGTATAAGTTTTTATAAAAAAGTTGTCATTACCAAAATTGAAGCTAATCAAAAGTTAAATAAATTCCTCGCTTCAAAAATCTTTTAGTATTAATTTAATGGTAGTTATAGGTAATTAAATGTATTTTTTTTTTTCGGCGAGTACTCAAATTTGAATATACAAGCTTAAATAACGGGAAAACAATGGATTTTATAAAATATACTTATCGAACAATTTTCACAGTACTCAGATATACCTATAAAACGAACTCTAGAAGAAGTTGATAGCATCAAAATTAAGAAAGTTATGATGAAAATAAAAGGACCCTATCGAATTTTTTTGGAAAAAGTGAAAAATAAAACATACACCATTTCCACAAAAATTAAAATTTATAGTAATCCCTATAAGACTTACTTTATTTTAACATAAGTAATGACCTCAAAAATTTTGACCGGTTTAGAATGCATATTTTTATAAAAAAATTTGATTTAAAAAAATCAGAATTTTTCAAAATCAGAATTTTTCAAATTTTCAAAAATTTCATTTTTTTTTTGAGAATAACTTGATTCATACTCAATATATTTAGGAAATGATACAAAACAAAATTTGAGGTTTTTTTTAGCACAGATTTTTTCTTTTTTTTTTTTTTTAATTTTTGTGGGATAAAAAATAACTGAGATAAAAACGTTTAACACTTAAATTTTACTGTAAAACCATGTAACCGGAGCCTTTTAACCTTTTATCTTTTAAAAAATAAGGGATTTAAAAGATTAAATTTAATACGACTTTATAGCCCTTGAAATTACCTTTCAAATGGTTTTTGAATGAACCTGACATTATAAAAATTAACGGAGTTATTGTAAAAAAATCAATAACAATTTTTTAGAAAAATTTTTGGACTAGAGATTTTGTATGTCTATATAGGAAAAAACATAGGTAATAAGAAGTAGACGTGTCGATAGGTATATGCTTACGTAATATACATGTTTGGATGTATGTATGTATGTATATTTTTAAGATAGAAGAAGCTAGTGAAGCTTTATTAAGACTACCACTAAAAATAGTGCAGTCAAGCTTTTATCTCTAGTCCCAACGGTTGCTGCATTGAATGAACACATCAAGAGTTTATCTACAAACGCAGACATGGCTTGGAAACAAAGACATTCGTCCAGTTGACTGGGTATGGTGCAAAATTGAAGAGTCTTTGTTTCCAACTAAAAATTCCAATCCACCTGCTCCAGAAGAATTGTTAAAAATGATTTTTTGCAACTGCAAAAAAGGGTGCGGGTGTCGAAGAGTAGGGTTATTTTGTCATGCAGTCTGTGGATCATGCAGTGGGAACCATTGCCAAAATAGTCCTCCAATTAATGAAAAAGGAGACATTGGTGAAAAGAGCTTTGATGAAAAGTGAAAAATTAACAATTAAAGTAATATGTATTAGTATTTGATTAATTTATGATACATTACTTAAATAAAAAATGAATGAACTTTTCATATACACATTTTAATATTTATTTTAATACGTTTTCCTAACAAACAAATAACAACAAATTAACTAGCAAATTAAATTTTTATAAATAAGTCACATAAGCACTAAAAAAATTGTTCAGGAAATGCGGAAAGATTAATATTAATCTAGTTTGGAATACATCAATAAAGTTTATCATAATCAGTTAAAAGTTTCTAAATGGAAAGTTTCCATTACTTTTATAACCAGGAGTAGTTTTTAAGAGTGCAAAATTGCGCAATAAATAAATACATACTTTAATAGTCATTAAATTCAATACAGAATTATATCATGAACATTAAAGAAACTATTTGGGTAATATTAATATGCGATTTGATATTTCAGAAATATAAAAAATGATATTTTCATGATTTTCGATTTAAGGGATAGTTACTAAAAGGGTTAAAAAATTAATTAACATCATAAATCATGCTAATAAATGTTTCAAAATATTTATTATATTTAATTAATCGAGATTACTTATGCCAGAATGCTTAAATCTTCATTTTTTTGCCATTTTTAACAAAAGCGGTGGATTGCATCCCTAAAATGCAAATAGAGCAAGTTTTCATTTCAATTGATGGAGATTCACCGAAATCGGAGGTAATACTTAATTTTTACCTTCATTTACCGTACTATAAAGGAATAATGGGTTTGATTAAACAAATGAAAAAAATATGTTTTTTTCCAAGAAATTCAATTTTTTTATTATATTAAACTGTTTTTATCTTTAAAATGGTAATAATTACGTTTCCTTAATTATTATAAACAAATAATTTTTAATTAATCCTTCTAATATACCTTCTTTTCTTTTGAATTCGCATGCTTTTCTGTTTTGGATCAAAAAATTAATTCAACATTTTTTAGAATACGCCGCTGTGAAGTTTTTCTATTTCTTAATAGATACAATATTATATTTGAGTGAATATTAATATTAATAATTTTTGTATTTAAATTTATTTGTTAATTATTAATTAATTTGCTATTCGAAAAAATCGCATTTTTGCTCTAAATCATTAATAATTAAAAACGCCAAAATTTGTGCAAAAACCGTAAAGTTTTTTACTATTATAAATATTATTATATTATAAATACTTTTTGCTAACAGGTGTTAAAATAATATTTATAGTTTTTCTGATTGAACATCACATAGAAAATAATCTGAGATAATAATTTACTATTATTTGCAAGCATAGCCTGTTTATACATAGTAAATATCGTGTTAAAAATAATTTTTAATAATAAATGAATTACTTACTTCCCATGTCCCCAATCCTACCGTGGGCATGTTCAATCCACCACAAGAAATCGTTTTAGCCATATTTTATTTATTGAATAATCTCCGCAATCAAAAAAATACTTGCCGGTATTCGATATTTTTTCACCGTAAACTGTTTGCTAGATATGCCCTTGAACATCAGACAACCACTGAGGCACTGAAACGACTGAAACTGAATTGAATTTATGTAATGTAAGTCAGGCAGGAAGTTATTCGATTCTCTCACGAAGATATATCGCGGCGCAATTTTGTTGCACAGCTAAGGTGGGAGATCAGTTATGTAATCGGAATCGGAATGTTAATTCATCATTTTCATCCGTACATAATTGCTACCAAATTTTATAATAAGAATGAGATGGCAACTTTTGAATAGGTTCTATTTTTGGTCTAAAACATCACAACAATGTAAAGTTTTATTATGATATACCGGGTATTTAAAAAGTTATAACCAATATTATCTGAAAATCGTATCAAGTTTAACTCCCTGTATACTAAAAAAGAATAGGAACATTGATCTATTGCAACCATAGTTTTTTATGAATTGTTTTTATTTTGTTAATAATTAATTGTAATAATTGTTAATAGATATAACTAATTACGGAGATGTTGAAGAAGAAGTACGACAACAAAGCTTAAAAGCAAGTAAAGCGGCGGGTTCTCTTAATGACACAATCTGGAAGAACAAAGACCTAAGACAAGACACAAAAACAAGAATCTATAAAGCAGCAATAAGACCTGTATTAACATACACGGCGGAGACACGACTTGACACATCTAAAACGAGACGACTGCTAGAAACAACAGAGATGAAAATACTCCGACGAATATCAGGGAGAAGTCTGTTGGATAGGGAGAGAAGCGAAAACATAAGATGACCATGCAATATAAAAGACATAAAAAGATGGGCGACAAAACGAAAACAGGAGTGGGACGAACACGTCAGTAGAATGACAGAGGATAGAATAGTAGGAATAGCACGAGATAAGTCACCAAATGGACAAAGAAGCATTGGCAGACCAAGAAAAAGATGGTACGAAAATTTACACAATTTAGGAGGCTAATATTGAAGAAGAAACAGGCTTTAAAGCCTACATACTAGAAGGAAGAAAAAGAAGAAGTTATTAGAGAAGAAAATATGTGTAATATTTGTTGAAATATCGACATGCTTCGTTTATAATTTAAATGCCTCTCGTATTGAGTTAAAATTTCGTTGACAAAGGCTCCGCTATCGGGCGATCTAATTTTATAACGTCAAATTTTATAATATAATCCGTAATCGGAGATGTGTAACATTGGCAAAAACACATTTCCTAGCCCAGATGGCATCCATAGAAGATGCCTCAAAAATCTTCCAGAGAATATAATCCCGTTGCTTACCAACATAATCAATGTATGTGTACGCTGAGCTATTTTCTAATTTCAGGGAAAGTGGTCAGCACAGTTATTCCCAGTAGATTCCCAAACAAGAACCAACCTAACCAACTCTGAATCATATAGACCCATTTCTCCACTAAGTACCCTAGGTAAAGTCTACGAGAGGATCTCGTAGAATTCCTAGACGCTCACTTCGCCATTCCTAATTACCAATTCGGATTCAGGGCTGGACATTCGATGCGAAATTAATTGGTTTAAGCAACAACAAGTCTACAATAGTGACATCCCCCGCTTGCAGTATATATCGGAAACCTTTATTCTGTATGCGGATGAAACTGCACACCTCACGTTAGGGCCACATAGAGAGTGTGAACAAATGTCTGTATGTGAAAGAGCACAAAACTATCTAGATCGAGTCATTAGATGGTGCAATAAATAAAGAGTGACCAAAAACGCCTCCATAACCTTGTTAGGAGAAGACCTCATTCTCAGAAACTCGGTTTCCTATTTGGGAGTTCATTTTAGCAGGACTCTCAACTGGAAAACCGACATTCAAGACACCTTAGAGATGGTAAGAAAGAGGTTTAAACTAGTGGCAGCGCTGTCCGGTAAAATGGACAGGACGTCATCTAAAACATTATTGCACACCTACAAAACTTTTATAAGACCGCTAATCGAATAAAAGGCATGCGTCTACGCATCACTTAACAGCCGCCAAATTAACACAATCATGGCCACTGAAAGGAAATCATTAGATTCTGCATAAGGAAGTGCAGATACTATCCACCATCTGACATACATAAGGTAGTATTCTAACCCCGATTAAGGACATAATGCTATCCCTCAGCAGGAGGTATGACCCACGAACTAGTACAGGCTCGAACAACCAAGCCAAACAAATATTAAAGACACCGTGCCATCGCCGAGGGCAAATACTCACCAGGGTTCCTAAAAGGAAGGTTCCATTCCCTCCAGCTAAACTTCTACACAACACTGGAAAAGAACTTCCTGATGAGTATTTTGATATTTTAGAATCATTCCCCTTCAATTATCGCAGGTAACAACTACAAGTCAAAAACGCTTTAAGAGCTGTTCCCATTATGGCTGGTAATCCCTTGAAGTACCTCTCTTCGACTTGTTTGGCCTTCTTCACCAACAATTCTTCTTGTGCGCTTCATCATATCGTCCATATCACACATGCCACCTTCTGAACCCCAGCATTTTTGCAATCCACCTCTACATCTCCACAAGCATTCATCACGCTTACCACATCCCCCTTGCTACGGAAAAAAAGTACTACCCCTTCCTGGAAGAGGCAATAGCCTAAACAAGGTTAAAACATTGGATCGATCATTCATTCAATATTCGAAAATAATATTCATTCAAATAATTATTCATTAAGAACGAAGCTAACGCTTTTTCTAATTCCAAAGGCATTGAACTAGTTAAAAAACTAAACATGGATGTTACAGAAATGGCAGAAGGAAGTATGTAGAGCAAAGTCATCTAAACATTAATTAACCTAACTTTCCTTAATAAAAAAGTAATAAAAAATATAAAACAAGTTAATATTATCAATTTCTGCAATGGTTATTTTAAAATCTTTACTCATTAAATGTATTTTCTTGGGGCGTTACTATGCTATACCTAATGTTGTCATTAGTCACTAAACAGAGGGCAGTCAGTTATCAGTCACCAATTAGTGTTATCGTACCTGATTCGAAGGTTCTTTTTTATGAGAAATATATTTTTAGTACTACCTACTAATATTTCTATTTGCCGTTAAAACGGAACTCGAACTAATTACCTGCTAAACGTGATACCATTGGTTACTATTGATGGAATACTAAAATGATTTAAGGATGTAACAGAGCGAGTTTTATAAGGTAAGGTATACCTCTAAGTATTACCTGAGAAACAGCTAAACGATTTATAATGAATTCTGGTTTGTAAAGGTTATGTAATACAACTGATCTTATGGTAGATGGTAGGTAGTATTTACATTTTTTGTATCAGATTTTCTGTTTCCCTGAAAATAAACCTAATGAACTTTGTTATTGTAAATCGATTGTCGTGTATATTTTTTCTTTATAAAATCCTTAAAAAATACTTAATAAATATTGCCTGACGTCGATAAATATGGATTAACATCGTATACAAGACAAAATGCTATGAAATTACCTGCTAATAGTCTAGAATCTAGAAAGCATAGAATTTTTTTAAGATCTTTACCAATCAGAATAGATTTTGTTCTACGTTGATGACTAAACCGAAATGTTTGATCACTGTTTATTAACTAATATATTAGTCATCAATTAATATTAAACAGAAGGCACGTCTGCGCGTCCCTTTGTGTAAGTCCATTGTTTATCTTTAAAGTTCTAGAATGCTTTACTTGTGTCCTAACACTAGCTTTTAAGTTAAACGTTGTTATTCGTAAATTAGATAAGTTTTTCTGGTATACCAAACACTCAGTCATTGATTGTTGCAGTACTTCCTCTTGAAACTGTGGTTGAAACGGCATTGAAGTGGACTTTTATAAAGTGCAAACTTTATAAAACAATAATACGCCCAGTGCTCACATACGAATCGGAAACATGGGCAATAACGACCCGAGATGAAGAGTTACTACGAGTCTTTGAAAGAAAAGTATTGAGGACCATATATGGCGGAGTAAACGAACAGGGTCTGTGGAGAAGGCGATATAACTTTGAACTCTATAGACTTTTTGGTGATGCAGATATTGTGAAAACCATCAAAATAAACCACCTAAGGTGGGTGGGTCACGTTATGCGGATGGATGAGAATGATCCCACTAAAATAGCTATGCTAAACAAGCCGGTTGGAAGAAGAAGAAGGGGGCGACCTAAACTCAGATATCTGGACGATGTACATGTGGAGTGGGGGGCTGGAGAAGACAGACACTCGATAGGGAAGGATGGAAGAATGTTTTGAAGCAGGCCAATGCTCACGAAGGGCTGTAGCGCCAACTGATGATGATGATGATCTTTTTTGTAAGTGGTTAATGTATTTTAATAAGTTTGCCAAACCCAGTGCTGAAAACAAAGTTCTTTTAATTCTCGACAATCACAGCTCTCATCGTGACCTGCAAGCTATAAAATATTGCCGAGAGAATCACATTGATTTTTTATCTCTACCGCCTCATTAAAGCAATAAACTACAGATACTGGATATTGGTTTTGTGGGTTCTTTAAAAAAAATACAATAGGGAATGTGACAAGTGGATGGAAGTAATCCAGGTAAAGTAATTACACAATTTCACAAAGTTGCTGGATTATTTAGTACTGCTTATGGTTCTGTAGCAAATATTTAGAAGGCCGAAAATTCTTTTAAAGCATCGGGAATATATTCGTTTAACCCTGATCAGTTTCATGACATGGATTTTGCCCCCTCCAATGGTACCGACGTACCTTTGGACAATCCAGTAAGCGCGGATAATACTTTAAATGGAGTCCGTGTAGAAGAAAAAAATAATGGACTTCAGCTTCCAATACCACCTGAAGTAATACCTCCTTTAAAGCAGCCTGAGAATGAAGATGATCTAATCTCTTTTCACCTTACACCACCTCTCGATGTGGCTAATCTTGATATCGAATGCGAAGATGGTGTATTAATACCATCACAAGGTAGCATTAATAGCTTAAATATGTCAGTGTCAGCGGCAGAGATTTTACCATTACCCAAAATTAAAGAAAAGCCTAATCGACGCAAAACAAAATCTACCAAAAGTCCGAAATACTTTCCAGTGGCCCATATAGACAAGAACATGGGAATTTGGAAA